TTGACGGAGCAGTTAAACAAAACACTGACCGACATGCCATCTATGTATGTTGATGTTGAGCACAAAGCATGGGATGAAATTTTGCCGTACGTCACGTTTGTTTATAATGCCGCTGTGCAAGAGACCACAGACCTAACACCACTCGAGCATGTTTATGGCCGTAGCGTCACAACAACGTTAGAGTCTATGCTCCCTGTAGACCAGGACACCAGCGGAAATGACAGTGTTGACGAATTCATTGAGAAAGCCGACAAAGCCCGCCAGCTTGCACGGAACCGCATTCGCACGCAGCAAGATATTGACGCTCGCCGTTACAACCAAGGCCAAAGGAACGTCCACTATTAACCAGGTGACTATGTATGGGTGTGGACACCAGTTCGACTTCGTGGGCTTTTGGAGAAGCTATTGCAATGCTACTTTGGCCCTTACGAAGTTGTGCGCTGCCTCAGTGACGTGAATTACCAGGTAGTTCCTCAAAGCTCGGATACCAGTTTAAACCGAAGACGTCCACATCCAGAAGTAGTCAATGTAGTAAGGATGAAACCGTACCACGCCCGCGAGTTATGGAAAACAGAAATTAGAGCGCAAATTCACGAAGCACGAGGCATGCAATGAATCTTTTTCTTTAGCTGAACTCCCTAGGTTCTGACCGAGTAGTATATGAAATGTTAAAACATCTGCCATCCGAAACGCGAAAAGCCCTTTTCTCCCTGTATATTGAATGCTGTGTGGTTTTCAAGCGAAATCCCCTCAGCCTCGATAGAAGCCATCGTTATTCCTACCCTAAAACGGGGCAAGGACTCGTCCTCTGTGTCAAGCTACAGGCCCATCACCTTAACAAGCTCTCTTTGCAAGATTTTTGAAAACATGATAAACAGGCTACTCATGCACTTCCTTGAGACAAGTAATCTACTTGACCTTCACCAGTGCGGGTTTAGAGAAGCTAAATCCACTACTGACCACCTTGTCCATAACGAGGCACAAATTTGGGACGTTTTCGTTCATAACCAATTTTTTCTCTCTGTGTTCCTTGATATGGTAAGGGCCTATGACACTGCGTGGCGCTACGGCATCATCAGAGACCTGTCACATTTAGGTGTTCGGGGAAAAATGTTGACTATAATTGAAAGTTACCTGTCCAATCGTACATTTCGTGTTCGAATAGGCGCTGTTTTATCCCGAACGCTTGTCCAAGGAACAGGAGTGCCACAAGGTGATATACTGAGTTGCACACTTTTTATTGTGAAAATGATTTCCTTGCACCTATACATTCCTCGTAATATGTTTTATTGCAGACATGTCGACAATGTACAGGTTGGTTTTGAATCCAACCTTTCCATGTGTGAACGACAAATACAGCTGAGTGTAAACAAGGTCTTACAATGGGTATACGAAAATGGTTTTAAATTGAACCCACAAAAGAGCACTTGCGTCCTATTCTCCTGAAAGAGGGGCATTCATCCAGATCCTGAGATTGATCTTTATGGTCAGCCTCTGTCAGTAAAGACCGTGCATAAATTCCTAGGCCTCATATTAGACGCAAAACTAACTGTCATACCCCACATAAAATATACAAAAAAGAAGTGTTTAAAACTATGAATGTTCTGAAAGTGTTGTCACGCACCACGTGGGGTAGTGACAGGAAGTGTCTACTCTATCTGTATAAAAGCCTCATTCGCACTCGCCTAGACTGCTGGGCTGTTGTCTATCAGTTTGCCACACCAACTGCCCTGAAGATGCTAGACGCCCTTCACCATCTCGCAATTCGTCTTTCTACAGGTGCTTTTCGCACGAGCCCTGTCGAAAGCCTCCACGCTGAATTGAACGAGTGGTTGCTTCACCTGTAGAGATCTTACACAGCTTTTGTATATTTTTTGAAAGTAAACTATGATGAGGAACACCCTGCACACTCTACAATTAATGATCTCTCCAGTTCAGCATTCTTTGACAACCATCCTTCTTTGAGGCAGCCCTACTCGTTGCGTGTAAGGAGCCTAGCTCAGAAAATGGGCGTGCCATTTCTCAAACACCATGTGGCAGCCCCCGCTGTAAATCTCTCAAGTGCTTCTCAAGTGCTATCACTTGTGCATGATAAAGTTTCGTGTCTAAATATATACAGTATTTGTCACGTCTTCAATGATATAATGGGCGATATTCGTGGATGGTTTACGGTTTAGCGATGAAAGCCTCTAGCGCTTCGCTCCACTCATCATTCACTACGTGGATATGCTATGATTTTTTTTCCTGGTGGTAGCACACAATTGATCGCATGCTTCTTGCCTGCTGTGAAGGGTGACAATGACTGCATCATTAATGCTGCACTCTGAGCAGTGAAATAAACTACCAGCTTATGTTACCGCAGGATGCCCATGCATAGCGCGGACCGTGCCAATTATTACGCGGGTAAAAGTGAGTGCTGATGCTGCTGTTTCTCATCGGACTAACTAATTACGGTTGAACATACAATTTGTATCAGTTTACTACAGCGAAATTAAGCTCTGACATGCATCTTATACGTAGCAGTTTGTTTCCGACGTGGGTGATGGGGTGGCTGGTTGGGACTCGCTTTCCTGTGCAGCATCATCGGTGCTGGCATTGCCTTGGGTCGTTGCTCTTACAGTGGGGACCGGCTTGAACAAGTACTGAACAAGTACAGATGTACAGCGAACTCATTATGACTTCCGCAGTTCGTCATAATAACAGCAACTACCCGATTTCAGCAGATAAACTCGGCATTGCCTGCCGGCGAGTGCAGTCCACTGTCCTCACCGTCCCGCGCGTGATGTCATTAAGCCTCGACCAATCACAGTCGGGGGCGAGATTCGCTATGGTGGCCGCAGTGTTACTTGTTTTCAGCAAAATAAAGTTATTTGACTTGGTTTATGCATATTTTGACTTGATTTTCGAGTTCGCCTCACGAAATTAAGTATCATGAGCTATGACCTCCATTTTTAAAAAAAGTGTTGGAGTTTCCCTTTAAGGCCTGACTACACATACCCATTTCAGCATGTCAGTGCATGGCTCTTTAATGCTGCATCACGCCCTGTCTCTTTGGAGAGAGAGAGAGAGAGAGAGAGGGAGTGTGAATTTCCACAGCACAGCACGGCCCCTCCGCAGAAAGTCATTCTAGCTTTTTCTCCGAGTCTCTCGTAAAGAAAAAAAAAAGAAACGAATATGAAAAAATGCTAGGATCGAGGCAATCTAAAAGCAGTAGGTACACGGGTGTTAGAACCACATTTTTGTTGCTCTTCATTATCAAGAATAATAATAATAATCTTGAGTACACTAGTGCTAACAGCATCGTTAGAAATGCTGATCGAAAGTTGTCCGTTACTATCTGGCAAAAGGCAAAATTATTTGACACTTCACTGATCTGTGTAGTTAATGAGCATGCACATCACACACTCAGTGCCTAGAAAAAATGTATGGCTGTAGTCCTGTAAAGATGTCCAATTCGGTTTATGGCCCAGAGTGCATATTCAGAAAAATGTTTTACACTAGAAGTGTTCGAGAATAGTTTGGGATGCTGAACATGCTAAGTTGTTAATTAGTGACAAGAACAGCAAACTGAAGCGAAGCATTGTGAGTTTGCCCCATGAGATTAATGGTAGGTGTCACCTAATTTTGACTTTTTGAGACTGTGCAGCTTATGGTCAACAAAGTAGCCACTGTGAGAGTTAATTATGTTTTGGATGAACACTTTGTTTGGATAGGAAAGTGGTTGTGGTAGCCAGCACTGCTGAGCATAGGGATTTGAGAAAACTGAAGAAGGGAGGAGTGGTACGCCATCCGCTTCTCGAGTCGTACGTACGGCACTAGCACTATATAGCGCAGGCACTTATTCGTGTTGGCACACCAATACATTGGGATGCTCCGGTGCCGGTGTCTTTTGCATATAAAAGCAGCAGCACGTACCGAAGAGCGCCTGCATAGATGCATTATTATTACACCTGTGTAGGTACTCGTGAGTATGTCCAAAATCGTATGTCTTATCGTATATGTTAAAGTTATTTTGGTGTGTGTGTGTGTGTATGCGTGTGCGTGTGCATGCGCTAAATGCATGCCATACTTTATTGGGGCAGGGCAAGCTGGAAAGGTTATATATTTGATGACTTCTGATACTTAGCCAAAGCCCAATAATGTTTTAAGGTACTATCAACAGCAAAAGTATGCGGGATGTTTGATGCACAACAAATGGGAATTTCGGCTATATCAGTGCTTAGTACTTGTAATCAAGCTGGTGATTGCATAGGTCGTAATTACAAATGCAGTATGAAACATTTATTTTGAAATTGCATTCCTAGGCAAAACGGGGATTAAGCCTTATTGAACATTTTGCATCCCGTAAACTTTTGCTGTAGGTAGTACAAACATTTAATATAGTACTTGCAAATGAAGCCTTGGTGCATGTATTTACAATAGTCTATACGTCGGTAAGTAGCAGGCCTTTAGATGGTCTACACAACACAGTCTTTAGGCGGTGTGAGTAATGTAGTCTTTACGCAGTAATTAAAAGGAGGCCTTGAGGCGGTCTACATAATATAATCTAAGTAAAATAGTAAGAGATGATTCTTCAGACAGTTTACACAATAAAGTCTTTATACAATAGTTAAAAGGATGCCTTTAGATGGTGTCTTTATGAAGTAGTAAAAAGGAAGCCTTTCGATTATCTATTAACAATAGTTACTAGACCGCAAATGCTTGTAGATGGTTACCAATGTTAACGAATGCTTACTAAGTGGTCTACTGAATGCTACCAGCCATATTTTAAGGGAAACGATGCACACAATTGTGTACAAAGGGTTAATTGCCTGAAGTAATTAGGATGAGTAAGTGCCATATGACTTAGGCAAATTCTTTGTGGAAGAAACTGCGATGGCTGTTGGTGGAGCCGACATTTTCTGTTGAGAGAGTATAAGGTTGAGAAAGAGATGGGGAACATCATTTTAGGTTTGCATTTCTAATGCAGTTTATTATTATCACATCTATTTCATTTGCAGCGCCGGTCGTTCCGGTGGTCTATTGAGCAGATGGCTGGTCTGTGGCCGGCAAACATAGAGGAAGAACAGGAGCCTAGTCTTCTACAACCTGCAAGGTAACCTGCTTGTGCTTCTTTTTTTTTTTTTTGTATTCATATAAAGGGCCCTGAAGTGGTTTCTCTTATAACTTGCATTAGCACCTCAGCCTAGGCAAAATAACTTGCCCTGCTCGAGATCCCTCCTTCACAACTCCACTGAGTGGTTAGGCCGAAGCTCCACCTTCTGGAGTCTGTTGCCGATGCTCCATACTTCTCATGTTGATGTTTCTTGTACCAAGTTGAGCCACATACCTAGCGGCACATTTTTCTTTCTGCTTTTTTGCTATGCAAGTGCTAACCTGTGCAGAGTGCCAAGTCACTCAGTCATCTGAAGCAGTTCCGCAATTGACTCAGTGGGTTCATAAAAATCGTCAATGTTTTGTGCTCTCCGTAAAGAAAAGTCACTAAAAAGAAGTTCAGGAGACCTCGGCCTATTGGGATTGTTTGTTTGTTACCACATTGCACAATGCTTTCACCAGTTTCCTGCCTCTCTGCTGAGAATTGTATCCACGTGCTTAGCAGAGTGACACTTCACTTGCTGCTACAGGCAACGGTGACGGCTGTGTGGTCATGTCCAGTCGACAATGGGATGTGGCAACAAGAGTCCTCTAAACAGGGGTGGAAGTACTGCCCTATCCTCCTCCGAAGGTCATTGTTGTGCCCAAACTGCTCTGAAGCCGTCCTTGGTCTTTTCGTTAGCCGCTGTTATATGCGACGTTCATGTTCTCTGGCTGGCCTAAGCGAACTCCTGTCATCGTTCTCATCTGATTCCCTTTCTGGGTTGTTAATAACGGTGTGAAAGAATCAAGCAGTGAATGTGATACATAGTTCGCATAGAGTTCCCTATAAATTTTAGACAACTCTATGCCTTGCTGGAGAACGTGACTGCAACATTGTGTTTTCCGTTTCATCGAAACTTCGGTATCGTCAGGGCTGTGATCGTTCGAACAAAAGCTGTGAACATTGATTCTGGGGGTGAGGTCGATGGCGCACGCGTCATCTCGGCAGTTTTCAGATCAGTGCGAATGGCTCGCAAACCCTTTCACGTGCTGCGCTCTCAACGTGAAGAGGCTGTGCAAAAAAAGCATCTCTCCCTGGTAGGGCGTTTTGTAGAGTTACGGGATATCGAATCCAAACGAGTTAGCTGCTATTCTTACTTTGTATAACATTCCAATTTGTTGCTGTCACATTCATTGCTGAACCCTTGTGGTGATATTTTTATAACTTGATGGCAACATTTAGAAAAAGAAAGGACGGTAACTGTGTTCAAAAGAAAAGTGTGGTGTGCGGTTCTCGGAATAGCCTAGCAAAGACAGGTGCTCAGAAGTGCTCATCGAGCACTTGCACGCGTGTATTTTCGTTCATTTTGCCGCTGTGCTTTATACGGCGCTTATCAACTCTCCTAATGACGGTCACACGTTGAGGCTAAAAATATAACAAGCGACACCAGCAACTATTCTTTTGAATTTGATCTCGCATAAATACAAAATGCTGGTCTAAAAATAATATTGCGCGTGAGACGCACCACTGCAGTCAAGGGCACTGCAAGTGCTGGGACGTGCAAGGTTGTATCACGTCATCTCACCTAGTTCTGGTGAGGGAAAGCTGGCAGTTGGATGCATTGTTTCTACCGTGACTTCGCAGTGTATTTATTTTTGAACAGCTTTGTTTTTCTCTGGCTTCATGTGTGCGTGCTTCTACAGACTACTTAATCCGGAAAGTTGCAGCAAAAGTTACCGGCAGCGTGCCCCAGTGCGCTACGTACGTGAAGGCACTGTCACGGCCGCTGGCTGTGACACTGTCACCTCTCTCTTTCTGTGTTGTTGTGGTTGTTGTTTCAAATCTATGAGGTTAAAATGAGCACCAATTATGAATGCTCACATGAAAGCAAAACGTTTCATTTTCTGCACGGGAGCCTTGTTCTCAATGAAAAATGAATGTGCAAACAGTCTGTAGTGCCACCATCACCATCATCATTTCTGAATCACCGCGCCGCGCCTCTCGCGCAGCAGATGCTAGCTCGAGCTGCGCGAGGATTAGAACAAGCTAGCGCACTTGGTGTGTCGGACGTGGAAAGCCACGCGGCTCCGCTTCAGGCGTGGAATAAAGTGGTGAGAGAACGACACGACCACGTTGGCCGCCGTCCCGTCTTCCTCTCTCGCTACATTGGTGACCCGGAGAACACGCCCTTCGCGGAGTGGCCAGCTGCCATGTTCCCGCAACTCTGCCCGCCAGTGCCGCCGTTCCAATCGACCTATCCCAAGGTATGGTTCATGCAGCTCGATGCCGTTCTTGCGTTGAATGGCGTCACGGACTAGCCGCTGATGCACGCCATTCTTCATGACGCCCTTCCGGTAGAGTTGCGTCATCTCGCTGCCACTTCAAGCACCAGCCCGCAGCCTTACGATGCCCTCTGCACTGCGGTGCTCGCCCGCAACGGCCTCACGTACCGACCGCTTCCAGGGACCGGCGACTTTGGGGCTGTCACTGCGTCGCAACGTGTGCTACCAACCGTGGCCCCACCAGACTCCATGACGACTACCTTGCCGCCCGCCTCGGAGCCTGGCACAGGTGACCTTTCGCCCGTTGTTGACTTCCCGACCTCGAAGCTTCCGCCTTCAACAACGTCCGATAAACGAGACTTAACCTCTCGTCTGGCCACTAGCGACGCGTGTCCTGCGCCCGACTGCCCATCCGCCAAGGTTCTCGACATTTGGGCTGAATGCAACCAGTCAACCATGAGGTTTGTGTTTTCATCGTCCTCGGCCGACGACACTGCAGGCATGCTTACCGCCGGCTCGTCTTGGCCGACCTCCATGGCTCACAACACGGCTGACACGTCAGGTTCTACGACGGCAACATCACCGAATGCCCTGGTGGCTACCACGACTATGGGCATTGTCACGCCCACTATTCACCTCCCGGTTGCGGAACCTTCACCCTCCCCGATGTTCGAAGGCGACTGTCGACCAGCCTCAATGCTCTGCACGTCCTGCCAGCAACGACCACCATCGTCCTCGCAGTTTCCCGCAGCTGAAGTTAAAGCCACCAGCCATCAACCACGGCCAAGCTTCCAAGACGCTGCGACTATGACTGACGCGCTTGAGAACGACGTGCCCGGTCCGCTTCAGACAGGGCTCACCAGGCACACCACGCCTGCGGTGGAGCAATCTAGGGGGTGTTGGCTAGAGGCAGCCATCAATTATGCAGACCTGCACGCCAACCCTCGTGCGCGGACTACCGGAGGTCATTACACGAGCACAGGTGTCCTGTCCAATACTCCGGGCGAGCCCACGCTGACTGGGTTCCACCACCACCATTCCCCGGAGCCTTTGCCTCCGGACGGCAACAACCAGACCTGTGTTCACACAAGGCCAGCTCGTGTGTCACAACCGCGACGGCGCTCATACTCATACGTGTCTACCACCCATTACCCTACGTCGGCGATGACAACGTGCTTGGCGTTACACATTGCGGCAACTTTTGAGCCGCCCTGCTACGCAGCCACGAGTTGCAGTCACAGCCCTGAAGACGGCGCAAGCGCATACTTGGCCTATCCGACGCAATGTCCCACCACTAGTCGTGTACCCGACTACCCACCGTACACTTGGCGGCATTGTTAGTACACCTTCCAGCGTGCGTCGGCACATCTATCTATACCGGCACGTCAGACGCCGCTTGACTTTGAGGTCTGTGTTGCGTCTACCCTAACGTCAAAACCCGCACTGCCGACCCTCTGCCGACGTTAGCAGCATGACCTCGCGACACACGGTCCACTCTCGGCCTGTCCGACCAGGTCATCGTGAGACCCGCTTGTCAGCAACCACAGCGACCCGGCACTTCCTTCTTCGTCCCTTGCGCTTCTCCCAGAGTCGCCCACCGGAGACGCACTGCTTACCGATGGCCTATAAACGTTGACAACCTGGACTTGCCAAATGAACACTTTATGGATTGTCGTTCATGTATATAGCATTTGTCGCTCTCTTTCTTTTTTCATATTCCTTCAAATCACGCAAAGTGCTAGGGGGGGAGCCCTGTAGTGCCACCATCACCATCATCATTTCGGAATCACCGCGCCGCGCCTCTCGCGCAGCAGATGCTAGCTCGAGCTGCACGAGGATTAGAACAAGCTAGCGCGCTTGGTGTGTCGGACGTGGAAAGCCACGCGGCTCCGCTTCAGGTGTGGAATAAAGTGGCGAGAGAACGACATGACCACGTTGGCCGCCGTCCCGTCTTCCTCTCTTGCTACAAGTCCTTTTATGTATACTTTCAAATAGGACGTAGGTGTGTACATATAGGGGACGTTGCTGTCATTACGTTCAAGAATGTGAGCCGTTGTCTGAATTGTCAGAGAGTCAAGACATAGCCCGCAAGTTTAGTGCATTTCCCTTTATTTTTGTTAATTTTATCTTTTACAATCTATTTCGTGGCCAGTTGCTTCTCCGTGTTCAACCAGCCTGTTCGTCGAAACCTTCTTTCTTACATCGTAGATGTGCCGCACCAGTCTTTGCTAAAGCTTACTTCTCTCGCTGAGGTGACCTGACCGCAGTCTGTGCCATCCCCACCCTCCTCCACGGGTGTCCGTCCCCATGTGTGTGCCTGACCACACGGATTTCCATCCGCCAGTGGCGTAGCCAAAGGGTTGCACACCAAGCCCGTGCCACTCGCGCTATTGCAGATCTTCTAGCTCATGCTCTGTCAATATCAGCACTTGCTAAGCCTACAGCTCTCAGAAAATGAGTGCGGTGCTCAGAAACAGCACCAAATTGTTATGAATACGTTGCCGGCAATGCTTGTGGACACAAACTTAAAGCCAACACAATCATTAGTTCGTGACTAACAGCCCACGCAATGTGCATGTGCCTGGTGTGCCACCTCCTGGCTACGCCCCTGGCACACACCCATTGGAGGAATGGGCTGAGTAGAGTGCAACGTGTATGAGACGACAGATGTAGTACTTGCTAGTAAGACGCCGCGAGTTCTTGTATCCATGTAGCTTGGATTTATGCGAGACTGTG